CCCTTTCCCCCCCCCCCCCCCCCCCCTTTTTCCCCAAAACCCCCCATTGTCTGTTTTCTAAAAATCAGTAGTTCATAAGGTTGCTGTGATTTCTTGCTCCATTTGATCTATTTACTTTTCATTAACTGCCTCGAATTTGAGTAATACTGATAAATATTAGCCCCACGTTCAGATTTTATGTTTATATGGTTTTCTTTCTTGGACTTTTGACATATGAAAACTGTTAAATTGTAGATCATTCTGGATGTTACAAGCAACATGGCAGCTTTAGAAGTTGGTGGTGGACCGTGGTTCACGACCTGGAAAGGCAGGACGTCTACACCAGAACTTCTTAGCCGTGCTATTAATGCTCCAGTCGACGTGGAGGGAATTTTTGGTTTGGTTCCATTGCTCAGGCCTCCTGGTTTATAGTCGGTTAGTACATGCTTCCATTTCTATAAGAGGGCTCATATTGCATTCTTGGTCTGTAGCACAGGGAGCACTGCATGATTGCCTCAATTAGAGCAAAGTGATTGTTGTTGCTCTAACTTTGAAAACGATATATAATTCAACTGCATTGCAAATCCTTTGTAGATATCAATACCCGCCTGGAGGAACTTGCAAGATGAAAAACGGGCCTTGTGGCCCTTTTGAGTTCGAATTATAATCGATTTTTGTCAATTAGAACGCTGGGTCAGTTTCTTTAGAAATTTGTTAAAATTATCATTTTGAAAACAAAGTTCCTTATAGCTTATTTTCTAGATCTAGAGTAAATTGTGTTTGATCACGAGTTGCCTCTTTAATTACGCCCTTTCTTTTCCTACGCTTTTGGGGACTACGGGGAAGGGTTCATACTTCCGACAGTTCTTGGATGTTTTTTCACTTGCTCAAAATGTAAAGACTTTACTCTATTCCTTTCTAAAGCTATGCCTCGAAAGAGACTTACGCTTTTGTGCTCCAATACACCATGAAGGGCTTTACTAACTTGAAAGAGCACACGAGAGTTTCCTTAAATCTTAATTCGAATAAAAAATAAAAAAACAACAGAAAAAATTCTTCGAAGAGGCATCCTTGGAGTTTAGGTTATTTTGATATAGATAACGTTTGGAGAACTGATGATTAGAACATATCGTTAAAAGCATTACTATATTCATTGTTAGGAATAGCAGCCTTAGAACTTCTATTACTATCGGCTACTTAACAGTCGAGAAATCAGGGGTTTTTTGGGCTTCGACGAGATATCCAACGTAACAACCAATGGGCGGTTTCCTATCTTTCGGGTAATTAGTTGGTGGTATTAAAGTAATGTATTTCGTCCCTTGCTTCATTCCTTAGACCATCTCTAATAGAAATTCAAACTTTTACACATATTGGAGTAAAAGTAAGGGCAAAAAGTTTAATTTGGTATATACCTCTTCAATGAAAAAACTCAAATTTAAAGGAAGAGAAATTTAAATTTAAATGAGAATAAACCCTTATTTAAAAAAAATAAAATAAAATAAAATATGATAATTGGATCTTTTAAGGAAAGTGAAATTTTACCATTAAAAATTTGGGTATGAATTTGAATTTTTTTTTTATTTGAGTATCGAGAAAGTTTTTATGGGTTTTTTAATCCGTATTTAAATGTAGGACTTGGAATCTTCGGTCACATCTTCGGATTGAGTTAGTTTTCCACAAACACTATTCGCATCAGAAAATCCAAAAAAATAAGATAGAAACTGGGAACATAAATGTGAATGCATTGAGCCGTCGACACTTTTACATTTGCTTAGGAGTTAAGGAAGGATCCAATTTGTATTCGTTTGAAATGGGTACTCAGTATAACATTAATAAGAAGTTGGAGTAACGTTACATGGATTTAAAAATTAGATTTGATAATTATAATCATTGATTTTATTGTGGCTTTCAGTATTTATCGAGATTCACTACCTATTCAATAGTTGTGATTATCAAGTTTAATTTTTAAATCTAATTTTTAAATCTATGTAGCATTACTCTAAGAAGTTGTCTACGACACGTGTAGTGATACGACATTTGCATTATTTATTTTCAAGTAATACACTGGATAATTACTTATAATAGTCTTTTCTTTCTTTCTTTTTTAATAAATTTTTCTTCCCAGGGAAATGGTCCTCACTCAAAATTAGTTTTGTTTACTATATCAGGTGGGACGAGTTCGTGTTAAAAGGTATTTCACCTCGTACTTAATTTCATTTATTGATTCTTGTCCAATAAATTGTGTTATATCGAGTTTGTATTGTGTATAAATTGTATATAATCAGTATACAAATAATGTTGGGGCTACTCGTTTATGAAACATATAGTTTAAACTTTCTAATTTTGTATTGCGTTCATGTTGTGTTATATTTTTAGATTTCTACTCCAAACATTGGTCTATAGAACTATAAGGCAGCAACATTGTAATTCTAAAAGGGGTGTATGTATGTGCTTGTTAATGAATTCTCTAGCAAAGCTGAAATGTTGGAAAATGTCATAATTTTAATTATTAAGATTCAACACGGTCTAATGAATAGTCGAGAGGATAAAATAAAATTATAATTTTAAAAAATTTGAGTGATATATAAGAGACGATGAGAACATAATTTTATAGGTATAATGTATAATTTCAAAAAGTTGAGCGGGGCCCATGGCCTCCTTGGGCCATACCACTGCTCCAAAAGCGACACTGGTCTCACTTATCTGGTGTCAAAGAGTATATAAGAACAGAAGGCAACAAATTTTCTGTTTCCATGACAACCGAGTAAAGTTCTTCAGCAATAAACATTACATTACGAGGAAAACACCATAGAGATCACAGGAGTGTCCAGTACAATTCATATTTATCAGTCACCATACTCATGCCTATTACATACTTATGAGGCTGAAGTTAAAGGAGTATATTCAGCTTCTTCTTCGACAGCCCGAGACAACCGAGTCGTCCGATTCTCAGAACGATCATAATAGAGACAACAAATCAGATAGTAAACGAAGTTAACCACACATAAGAAAGTGACCAGCCCAAAATAGTACTCCAAGTGACCCTTGTTGATGTTGCTTGCCAACCAGCTTATATTACCTCCTTTCCCAGTTACATCGTCCACGATATTCACCAGAAGACTCCCCAACAAGCTAGCCACAGCCAACCCCATTGTGTATATAGCTACTCCAATGCTAGCCATGGTTTTCGGGAACTGTGTGTAAAAGAATTCTATCTGCCCAATTGCATTAAAAGCCTCGGCTAATCCAAGCAGGGCGTATTGTGGCACCATCCACATCGCAGACATGTCCACCACAGCATTGGGATCATCCTCAAACCCATCTTCAATTGCCTTTGCCCTTCTTATGGTTTCCACTATTGCTGTTACAGACATTGCTACGCATGAGAGTATCAATCCAATCCCCATTCGAACTTTGGGGCTAAGCCCTCGTGCTTGCCTAGTATGTCTTGATAATATAGGCACCAATACTCGGTCATAAAAGGCAATCCACAAGGTTAGAGTCACAATCATGAACACGTTGAAGGACCCGGCAGGAATTTCAAACCCCAAGAAGTGTCTATCCATGGTGGTAATTTGAAGCATAGTGAAAGAGCCTTGGCTCAAGGCCACCAGGAGCATAATGCCAGTGGACCACATGGGGATGATTCTAAGAAGAGCCTTGAGAGATTCTACTTGTTCCACGGTGCAGAGAGTCCATGGATTTGAAGCTGATCCATCAGGGTTTAACTCACTCTCAGGATCTTGAATGACGCAAGCTTTATTCAGCCACCTACACAGAGTCGGCAAAGTAAGTGTTAAACCATTAGATTCTCTACACAAAGGAATTTATGGAGCCTGTGCATGCATTGTAGCATGTGGTTTAGTTTGATAATGATGCAGTTGCTATGAGAATTATAAGGTGCTGTTAGAGAGGGTGTAATTTAAGTATTTATATTTTAACACGCCACCTCAAGCACAACCTAATTTTTGGACTTAGCACAGGAAAATCTTTTAAGAATTAGAGTGACGGCGAGATTCAAACATAGAACCTCCTGCTTTGATACAATATTAAACAACTATGTACTCTAAATGTTTAAGTTGTTGGAAAGGATGTAACTTAAGTATTTATATTTCAACAAAGTGTCCACATGTATCAATCAAATAATATACGTGTGGCAACCCGTGTCATTCAAGAATAATGGCATTACGACAGAATAAAACATCAAGGCACTCTATGAAAGAAGTGACTACATGAGTGGAATTTGAAATTCTTCAACCTTAGTGGAATGACAAAGGCCATACCTTAAGTTCTCGGTTGGTGCAATCTTTGACTCACGGTTACGATGGTAAAAGCCATCATCGTTGCCGGGCAGAGGAAGACTGATATTTCTCTTCTTAAATGCTACAACTGAAACTTGAACAAATCCCGCGAGCAAGCTCTCACCAACTTTAGCTTTAATATAAAGAGAAGAACCAAGATAAAACATTACAGCAGAGAAAACCATGAGGATAGCAGGGACTCCAAAACCAACTGCCCAACCCAAATTTTCTTGGATGTATACGATAACAGTCAAAGCAAGAACCGTTGAGACTCCAGTCGAAGCATAGTACCAGTTGAAGAAGCTTTCCAATACCCTCTCATTGTTGGGGTTTTCTTTGTTGGCCAACTGGTCTGCACCAAAGGCTATAGAACAAGGTCTAATGCAACCAGCTCCAATGGACATCAGACCAAAAGAAGAAAACAACAAAGCAAGTTGGGCTGCTGTTGCAGAGTTGCTTTGTGACGGTTGCAACTGTGGTATCATGGCAGTTAACCAGAGAACAATCATCCCCTGATCAAACAGAAAAAACATCATCTGTCACCTTTAAGGATCGGCAATTATTATTACTAGTCTTGCTCGTTTGATTGAATCCTTTTAAACAAAAGTTTTCCCAGGAACAAAACAAAGACTCATGCTATAGTCTAGTTACCTCCATGGTTATTCAAAACAGGTCATAAGATGTATGCATGTGAAAAAAAATGGAAGCAACCAAAACACAACGGAAATCATATGAACAAAAACTAAAATTTAGGCACAAAGCACTTTTTCCAAAGCTAATTGAAAGAAGTTGTTGTGATCTACGAATGCAGACTTTAGGTGTTTAATCAGTCTTGAGGCTTTTAGCTTATTGTTCTGGGATGTTTTATCAATTGGTTTCAAGCCACCTCCTGTGACAGATTTGACTAATGAAAGGGGCAACCTATAGACCAAATTAAGATCAATGGTAGAATTTGAGGGAAAGGGCTGTATTTTGCAGCCAGAGTTGATTGAGTATGTCACTGTGGATGTCAGCTCAGCAGCATGAGTTAAGTTATGATGTAAGTACAAGGATGACAGCTTGGCGTGTTACAATATGTCTTGAGGTTTTGATGTATTGGTCCGGGTTCTTTCCAGAAGTATATTCCTAAAAGCTTTCTATAAGCTACCAGTTAACACAAATGTAGACTGATAGCTTATAGAAATCATGTTGCATTGGAAACAAAAGCTTCACATGTGTCAATAGCTATGTCATTACTTGGATAAGTGAAAAATAACCATGCCCCTTCGACTACCTCGAAACATGCATACTCACACAAACACATTCATCTCGTGAATTACTTACCTACAGATCAGTTTTCTGGAAAAGCAAGAGGCCATTGCTTAATATAATTGTAGAATGCACCAACTGCCATGCTAGAAAACGTGGTCTCAAGTATGTTAGCAGCCCATTTTTGTGTAAAAACATATCCAATGATCAAATTTGTTTTTTTTTCCCACCAAATTGATTGAGACACTTCTGATTCAGTGTGGTTATTAGATGTTCTTCTCAATTTCTAAACATGGTCTTTGCCAAGGTCGTACGCCATTGCAAACTCTAAAATACTCTCGGCTTTATTTCGATCACCATATCTGTAACCATCATGCACCCTCTCATATTGACGGGTCACTCATGGGGAACAACCTAGTATTATAGCATATATTATTATTTGGACTCACAGTGAATCCGATAAAATTTTATGCCGACTGTCAACTATTTAACACAACCCTCCTCCTTTATTAGACGGGCTGCCATGAATACAATTTCGTTTTTAAGCTGACCTAAATCATGCACCAATACGAAATTCTCATCATCACATAGAACAAATATCAATCTAGGCGTAGTCTTAGCCCTAGAACCCTGCACGAACAAGGCCTAATGCCCCATTTATTTAACTGTTTTGGGTAATAAAGGGTTGGGGACTTGACCAAATCAGAGAAAAATTGGGGAAATCCCCAGATGAGACTCACCAGAAGACTAGCAATGGATCCAAGAGCAATGACCTTGAAGCGACCCAAGTAAGAATCAGAGAGAAAAGCTCCAACAATGGCCAAACCATTGGAAGCTGCTGACCAAACATAGAGTACGTTAGACGCACCGACAGCGTCCATGCCATAGCCATTCATCAAGTAGAACACCATGTTCGGCATCAGTCCATAGCTTGCCACTCTCTCAAATGACTCGTTCACTGTACAAAACCCAGATGAAAATCAAGAACAAGAATTGTCAAAACTAAATGTATTTTACATAGAAATAAGAGATGAATTTATGTGTATTGTTTTTTGATTACCTATGATGAAAGGCATGGTTCTGAGACCACCCTTTCTGGGTTTTGAAGAGTTATCCAGCAACTGATTTTCTTCTGTGTTCGTATCCATCTTCTCTTCTTCCCCTCCTTCCATTTGTGTGTGTGGTGTGTGTGTGTGCGCCTTCAATATTATAGAAGGAGTAAAAACGAGAACAGTAATGAGAATGAATGATTTTGAGAGGTAGCTTTGACTTATTTTTGTTGTTGGCATTATGCTATTCAAAAAACACGCTTAGAGAAACTCCAAACTCAAGTCCCTATTTTAATTAATTAATTAAAATATATTTAAATATTATACTCTTTATTTTAAAAAATTACTTTTATATAACTGCACTCTTTATTCAACATGTTGGGGTTGCTCTAACCTGTTGAATATTATTATTGTTAATAATTATGTTATATATTTTTAAAAAGATATTATAATTAATTGAGGAATAAAATTATTCTATTCAATAATAATTTGATCTTTTTATATTTTTTTAAAATCTATAACAATATTTCTTGAGCAAACACAATTTTTAAAATTATAATTTATGAGTGCATATACATACATACATAGAGAAAACACGGTCTAAGTAAATAGTAGCACATCGTTGTTCTTAAGATGTAATAATAGACTATTGAGAAATAGTTATTATCTGTTCCGTTTGCCCACGTGTGAACTTAATGCTTAGGAAATACTAATATAATATTTAAATTTAAATTTTTTAAAAACTTTAAGTTTCTCCTGTCAAAATAATAAAAGTATTTTATTCTAACAATTTTAATAGTACTCTTAAAAATTAATAAATTTTAATACTTTATCTTCTCCTGGACCTAAAAAAGTAGGTGTGGTGTAGCTTTGACTTGAGATTGATTGACCGGTGACGAAAACGTTTATCTCGTTACTTAGACAAGAAGCAATAAATTTAGCTTTCACTTCCAAATTCACCCTCATCCTTTCCCTCGCACTTTTGAGTGGCCTAGAATTGAGAGTAGCTAAAAATATATATATATATATATATATATATATATATATCTCGCTGTCCTCGGGCCCCTCCCGATTCTATATTCAAATTTTCATGAGAAAATTTCATTGGCATCTCTTGAAACATAGTCTAATTTTAGAGATATTAGTTATTTTTTGTACTTAAAAGCATATAGTAATAAAAAAATAATTAATAATAAACATATTTATATTCATACTAAAAATTAAATAACAAAAATAAAAAAAATAAAAAAGAATTTAAACATTCGATTATAATTGAGGTGAGCGGTGATAATGGTGGTGGACGACAATGGTGAAAGATGGTGATGGTTTGTGATGGTGGCAGCCCTGGGGACAACCCTTTGAGTTAGATCATGAAAAATTTAGTCTCCATGAATACCCTAATTCTGATGTAAATGTTTTATTTTTGATCAGACCAAAAAAAAAATTAGTCGAAATACACTTTAATCGACTCTATCACCCTTAACTGTTACACTAAAAAAATATAAAATAAAAATAAAATTAGAGGTCCTTGTACTACCAAGCTTTCAGTAATAGAATCATTCAAAATCCACTGGCATAAAGAACAACCTCAGATGTCACCTGTCGTTAACTCCAACACTTTTATCGCTTGCTCCGACAGTTTTATCAAACAAAGATTCTTTGATCGTAAACTCGATACTCTTGCCACCACATCAAAACAAAGATTCCCAAATCAAGTTAAAGTTGGTCAACATGACTGCTGTTAGACTTACAGTTACAAATTCAAATCGCTTCAATAAAAATGTGGGACCCAAAAAACAAAAACAATGATTCCCAAACTGCTAAATCATCAACGATCAAATGGCCCAAAAAAAAAAAACCGATCTTAGACGTTAGACGTCGTTAACCGGACACTTTTATCACTACGTCAAAAAAACGGTCTCTAAAGAGCTAAACTTGCAAATGAACAAGATAAGAAAAAACACAGTAGCCTGTGTAAGAGAGATAACAAATTTTCCTTTACATTTCCAAATTAGAATCCTCAGACCATACATAACAACGTCCTATACACATTGTAATTGAGTTTGTTTCCCGGGGCTACCGCCTCGGGTCGGGTTATAGGTGCCTGAACTAAGTGGCCATGATCTGTTTATAATGTATCAATCACATAATTCAGATAGAACTAAAAGTACGAATAAGAGACATTCTAAACCTGGGGATAATTTATCTGCCTGATATCTCATCTCCATCGTCCTCATCGATCACTTCTGCTTTACAAGGACCATAAGCCCTACTGCAAACAAGAAAGTACAAAATGTTAACCAAACTCAAACCTGCAAGAACCCAAAAGTAGTAATCAAAGTGACCCCTGTTGATATTGCTTGAGACCCAACTCTCCTTTCCTCCTCTTTTAGTAACATCATCGACGGTGCTCATTATAGAACTAGCTAACAAGTTTGCCGCAGACAATCCAAGTCCGAGGAGAGTAGAAGCTATACTAGACATGCTTCTGGGCAACTCCGAAAAATAGAACTCATTTTGTCCAATGGCATTGAATGCCTCGGCCATGCCACACAAGCAGTATTGGGGCAGTAGCCAAATTGCTGACATTGGGAGCATGGCATCTGGATCATCTATATATCCTTCATTGATTGCAGTATCTCGTCGAACACCCTCCACATAGGCTGTCACTACCATGGAAATGAAAGAAAAGATAAGTCCAATGCCCATTCTTTGTTTGGCGCTAAGATAAACTGGTTTTCCCATGATTCTTGATGCTAGTGGTAGGATCAAACGGTCATAGATCACAACCCACACTGTTAGAGACACTATTGTAAACAAGCCAAAGGAACCTGCTGGAATTTCAAATTTTGAAGTTATGTGTCGATCCAAGGAGGATGCTTGGAGTACAGGAAAAGAACTTTGACTCATGGCTACAAATATCATGATTCCCGTCGACCATAATGGGATGATCTTGATTAGTGATTTTAGCTCTTCTACCTGAGTCACCGTACAAAGACTCCACGGGTCTGAAGCTCTCCCATCGGGGGTCAAGTCCTGCTCAGGATCTCTAATAGTACAAGCTTTGTTTAGAAACCTAGAAAAAGTTGGTGAACATTAGATAGAGTGTTCGGAAATATTCAACACATTCAAAGTAATTGATGGAGTCAAAGAACTATGCTAGATGAATTAACGCAATTTGGGCTATAGTGATAATGTTCATAGGAGGGAGACATTTGAGAGAGAACTTCTGGCATGAAAATTAGAGAAATCACAGATAAATCGACACAACTACTGAAGAAAACTCACAACTAAGATCAACTCATCCAATGGGATAAACAGCCACAAAAGCTAAGGTATTTCAAAAGACAAGGATACCCCCCTCCCCAGATATAGATTCATTTCAGATGTAACTCCACCGCCAATGGATGTCCCATGCCACATCATGAATGTTAGAAAAAATTGACATGGAAAAGACAATGGAAACTCAAAATTATGATGGCAAAAAATATAATAATACCTTAGTTTGTCAGTAGGAACAACCAGCATCGACCTCTTTTTGTGATGGTACAACATATCTGTCCTCCTCGATGATAATAGAAGATGTCTGTTCCTATAAGCGGCAACAATCACTTGAGCAAAACCAGTTAGCAGGTTCATTTCAGCCTTCAACTTGACATAGAATGGAGAAGCCAAAAAGAATGAAAGAGCCGCCAAGAACATGAGGATGGCAGGAACTCCAAATCCAACTTGCCACCCTATGTTATCTTGAATGTACACAATACAACTCATTGCAATCAAGACAGATAATGACGCTGAAGCATAGTACCAGCCAAAGTATCTCTCCAAGGCACCATCTTCTTTAGGTTTGTCTTGCATTTTGAGCTGATCTGCGCCGAAGGCCAAGGAAGATGACCTGATGCCCCCAGCTCCAATAGACATAAGTCCAAACGAAGAACATAGGAGAACAAGTTGCCATGTGGTAGGCAATATGCAACTGTCACCAGATTGGTCACAAGAAGGCGGCCTAGCTTCTGGAATCATAGTTGTTAACCACAAAAGAAGCACACCCTGTAACACAAGAAATTGATCAGACTTGGTTTATATTCACAGAATTCAGATATGTCAATGTTATTTCCAGCCAAACATGCCAAGTGGAATTTTTTCTCACGGAACCTGCTTTCAAGCTTTCAAATTGAGGAAAAAACCGTGACAAACTGTATTTGAGTATGAGTACCAATATCTAGTCTAATTCCTATCCATTCCGGTAAAAGTTTGGAAAACACACTGGGCTAGATATGGACAGAAAATTAACCATAATGCCAGCATAATACCATGCTCTGGGTGGATATATCTCATGCTTTACTCGGCTGCCAAGCAGTTGGCAGAATAGAGCAACTTGGAATAATGAAATCAGCAAAGGCTGTTATAAACTTCCAACTTCATTTATTATTATCATTCTGCAATCTAACTAATAGTAACAGAGAAAAATACAGCACCAAATTGTGATAAGTGGAAGGCACCCATATCACCTATACTCCTATGGGAGTTTTTCAGCTATTTGTTTTGCTGGCTTAGGATTTTAGAAATCCAAGCTCTATGCCTCTGTTGTTTGATCTCAACGATAGCAGAGCAGGGGGAAATAACCTAAGCAAGGTGACACAACTGCATAATGGCACAGTGATATTACTTGTTTCAATGCTTTCATAGATGGAGGAGTATATATAACTATGCCAAGTTTTTTGGTGTTAGTTCCTCTATCTATAATAATAACATAGAACCACATTTGAATCTTTAAAGTTTGATAAAAAAAAAAAACTCTAAAGTTGGGAAAGCACAAGAAGGACCCAGATTTAATCTACTTTAAGGCTGTTATAATCTACAAGAAGCACATAGAACCACTGTCGATGACACGTCTGTCCAGGTAAGCTCTCTTTGTCTCTCTCTCTACGCGCGCACACAGAGTCACACACACACAAAGTCGAACAAACACACCCCTACCCACCCACAGCACACATGCACACAGTCTCACACACACATATCACAACACACCCAATCTGTTAATCTAGGCTTTAGAATTGGATATTAATTTAGGGTTTTGAAATTGGATGTTAATTCCTCTCCTCTTACTTTTTGTTTTCCTTCATCTCTTTTGTCTCAACTGCCTGTGCCACACCATGCCACTGCCCGTCGTCGACGCCAAGCGACCCCAGGTATCTCTTTCTTCCCCTTCCTCTTCCTTTTTTATCTGACTCCCTGCTCTTCTTCTCCCCCCTCTCTTTCTACCACCATCGCATTATCCCCTGTCCCTCAATTCACAATTCACCACCGAATATCCTGACCATAGACCCATCAAACCCACCCCCATAACCCACAAAACCACTCCACAGACATTACCACACCAAAATAGCCGACCACTGCGTCCACTCCTTTCCTCCTCTCCCTCGTGACCACCAAACACAACCCACTGCCCCACCTTGGACATAAACTATTTGATAAAATGCCTAGTGGAGGCAAATGAAAAAAACCATTAGCCTGGGTTTTTGGGCAGATTGTGCAAGAATCAATCATTCATTTAACCACAATTAATTTTTTTTTTTTAGTTTCCAATTCGCTTTTCATTTTTATCTTTACTTGATTGCACAAGTTTTCCTATAAAAGCTCAATACGGTGTGATCAATATCTGTCAAGGAATCTATATATGCATCTTTATTGAGTTTCATAATATTAGACGGCCGGTGATTTCTTTTGTGAGTGGTAATCAATGGCGTGTGGTATATTTTGGCGAAAACTATGAAAAAATTGATCTCATTTTATGAGGTTGCTAAAGCATGTTTTTCGTTCTCAAGTGCAATTATGTGTGGCTTATGATTATGATTAAAATAATGATTGGGTTATGTAATTATTAATTTGTTAATTTTTTGTTCTCTATGTAGAAAAGTTGTATGCTCTAACTCCTCCATATTTTCCTAAATAGTTTGTTACTTTCCTACCATACAAATGTGTGTGTGTTCTTCATTATTTTTTTTGGATAATTTAGGATAAATGGATTGATGACAATAATTCTTCCATTTAGTTGATCTCTAGATTAATTCTTCCATTTAGTTGATCTATAGATTAATTCTTGCATTTACAATGCCTTTATATTCCTTTTTACATATGCATTTGCTTTTGAATGCTAGATTTTCAATTTGTTTGTGGGACGTTGTTCTATAGGACTTTAGGCTGTCATTATGATATCTCCTATTCATTTAGATGAATGTACTTCTAATGATGAGTAATTAGGGCTAATAACGTGAACTGTTTACAACTATTGTCTTTGTAGCAACTGTTATTCTTCATGTAAGGTGTTTGATAAAATGCATGTGAGGTGTTTGAGCATTTTGTGCATGTATGAGTATGGATGTGAGTATGATCCCCCAATTGACAAATCAACGGCCGCACTTGCGTTTTCTTTTTTATTGATACCCGTGTGATTGAAAAGGAAAATGGGCATTTTAAGTCATGAAAGTGGGCATTTTTCTTGAATTGTGAATTTGTTTAGAGTTTCATAAATCTTATATTTAGGTTTTGTACGTTATTGCAGTGAAGAAAGCACAACATCCAATAGTGAACGACAACTCTAAAAATCTAATAAGAAATATGAAGTGAGGTATGACCATAAGTTGTAATGATTTTTTTAATTGATAGATTTTGATTTGATTTGCTTGGATAGATATAAGGAGTGGTCGAATTTGATGACTCGCCACACCATTAAAACGCCTAATATCTAAAGTCAGGAATTTACTCTAATTCAAGTTTTTCAAGATGTTTAATTATTACTTCTTAATTGAGAGGGTCTACCATGCTTTTCTTCGATTGGGAATCAGTGTTTCACTTGATGGGTTTGTTCATCCTTTATTGACTCCAATCTGGAATATGTTAAACTAGTTGTAATTCATTTTGGGGTTTGCAAGAGCATAACCTTCATTGTTACTCCAACATTTGTTCACTCATATAGTTGAGTATCTTAGTTCTTTTATGCTAAGCTAATTGCATTTTTTATTTCATTAAAGTAGATCAGTGTGTAAATTACATAGGAGGTGCACCTAATAATCACACATAAGTTGATTATTATTGTGGTTGGTTTGTTATATGTTTTTGAGTTTAATTATGTTATAAGTTAGAATTTAGGCATCATTGTCTTGGAGAATAGCTAAGATTGGGTTATTATTCAGAAAAAAAAAGAAGTTTAGGTTATGATTGAATGTGTCTAATCACTTTTGACACAGTAATGGTTACTTGATTAGCACATGATCGTAGTTTGGTTATTGAGAGGGAATTGATGAAAATGGACTTTAATTTTTTGGCTTGGGAATATAGGACACATTGTAAAACTGTGTTTTGATGATAATGTGTGATTTGTTAAATTTGGTCCTCATTTTAAATTGGGCTTTAAACTTTCTTCAAGTTGAAAAGTCGATGTGAATTGCGAATATGGATTCATGAGTAAATACTTTAGCGTTGTTATGAAATCAATTGATGCAAATACATGGTAAATTAATTGTGCTTTCAGTTTACTAACTTTTATCTATTTATAGTTTTACGTTGGTTATATTCCAAATTATCTAAGCTTTGGATGAAATGGATCAAAGTACATTTTTCCAATGTAAAATCAGTAGGATTCCAAGAAATTATTAAGCACCATTACTATGAAGGGGCGTTTGTGATTGATTTTGGCCAGATGGTTATTGGTGTGGTTACTTGAGAGACTCTTTTTTAATAAGAAGTGAGCCTCTTTTCAAGTTGTGGTTTACAAATATTTTTAATATGTTGTTGACGAGAATTGGGGTTACGTGACTATGTACAGAGTTGGGTCAAAGGTTCTTGCTTGACTCCTCCTTCGAACCCTCACTTTTTTTACTGGTAGAATTACCTTCATCATCCTTAAACCCAGTATTGTCTTCTAACCGTAATCGAACTTTATGATTTTTAAATACTTCGTATTGATCACATTAAACCTTCAATCAAGTTGTCCAAAACTTGACTTAACATGTGAATAGAGAATCTGTTGAGTTTTTTGTTGCGACACATACATTTGATTTTAGTTATAGTAAATTATATTATTTGTTGCATAGTATTGGTATTTTAAGTAACTTAATACTGAAATTGGATAACTCTTCATTTGGCAAATCTTAATGTGGAGCTGTTTTAAGTGATGTTTTTGATCATGCGGGTGTTGAAATTGTGCGAAATTATATGGAATTAGAGCAAAACTAGAGCTTAAACTGTCATAGAAGTCTTGATTTTTTTATTTTTTTTTGTCTCTTTTTGTTATTATGCTATAAATGTTATTTTGGGTATGAAATAATGTTTGTTATGATAGTTGGGTATGTATGATGATTGTGGTGGTATGGTATATTATGATGATTGTTATGTATGTATGATTATAAATTCTATAGACAAGTTTAGATTTCTCTGAGTTTCTATTTTAGAGGAAACTCTGGCGGAATTTTTGGAAAATAGTAGGGATTAGCTTGATTTCAATTTTGTATATTAAAGTAAATGAAGTAAAAATTATTTTAAATTGACGGTTTGTTTTAGGTTGCAAAGTACCTTTAGATAATGTAATATTCTTCAAGTTTTAATTTATTTTTTCGTTATCCCGTGTCTTTAGGCACAGACAATTACTAGTATATTAATATTTGTAGACATATCAACTTGAAAATCTCCACTAGACATTGATATTTTCTACACTCCATCATCATTGCCCTCTTTTCTCTTTGGTCTAATTGATTTTCGATTGTCTCGTTAGAGAGATCATTAAGAATGCCCTACAGTATAGCAAATTGATCAATTTTTAGTACAAACCACTAAAGCTAAGTGATATTATTCATACACAATCTGTTGTAGTAGCTCAAAATACACTATAAAATTACGAGGCACTCCCCCCCCCCCCACACACACAACTTTCTTTCTTCTTTCCTCAAACTCACATGATAAAATCCTTCCCTTTTAGTTATCAACACAAAATCATCACCAACCAACCTTTGGTTGGTCTCTACATGTTGTAAAGTACTATCAGCACAACGCAATTTAACAAAATTGTATTCTAATCATTTGAGATCGACTATAAGAATCATATTTATGCATTATAAACTATCAACCCATATTCTATTCTATGTTAAATCGAACCTGTGGGGTACATGGTGTTTAACGTACCCAAAAAGCAAGGCTATTAAATCAAGACCGTGATCTTTTCTTTTCTTCAAAAACAAAATAAACATAAAGGAAAAAAAGGGAGAGAGGGACGGTACATTTGATTGGACCCACTAAGTTTTGGCCCACAGTGATATGTGACTTATTAATTAACCATAAACTCAAGGAGAAAACTACTTTAAGAAAAAATAAAAAACCATAAGGAATTTATATAATAGGAATACCCTAGTTCTAGTTCTAGTTCTAGTTCTAGTTCTGGCGTTAATGGATCTGTTTTGATCGAACCGGGAGGAGAGTAGAACTAGAAAGTGTCTCACAACAAAGGTAGTTTATTTGAAAACGTATACGTTTAGGGATAAAATGGACTTTTTATTGCATGAAAGTGACACCATGGACGTAATGCAAGGCAAGGGACAACGTTGTCAATATTCTAAAAGTAACACTGAAAATAGAACTTATGAAAATGTTTGGTGACCAAGAAGAAAGGGGAAGAAAACCAGATTGGGAATCGAAGCGAAGGACAACAATTTCTTTGGAAATCTCAGTCAAACTATGAAATTTTGTAATGGGAATTTTACCAGAAAGCTAATAACAGAGCCGAATGCGATCATCCAGAACCGACCCATCAGAGAATCCGCAAGCAAAGCCCCCACAACCGGTAGGAAATTGGTGGCTGCTGACCAGAGAAAGAGAATGTTGGACCCAGTTGCCATTTCCATATGATACTCTCTCATCAAATACAGTATCATATTGGGTGTTAAACCATAGCTTGCCACCTTCTCAAATGCCTCGTTTGCTGCCCATAATCAAATCAATCAACCTTAAAAACACATATGTGTGTGTGTGACAAAGAGAGAAAGATGATTGTGTGTTTGTGTTTGTGTGTAGTGATAGATGGGTATCGAACCTATGATGAATGGCATGGTTCTGAAGCCACCCTTTGGGGTTTTTTTCAAGAGAGGCTCATTGATCATCATCTTCTGTTCATCTGAGGTAGACTCCATGGGATTCTTCTGTGTAGCTTTATTATATACTAGTTGTGCTCCACTGTAAGTGTATTCAAACACACATTAGGCACACAAAGAAAGGGAATCTGGGGAAGGAGAGAGAGAGAGAGAGAGCGCTCACATTCAGGCGGAGTATGTAGCAGTGAAAGCGTCTCTGCGTCTCACAGGTACTTGGAGGAACCTTCGCTTTGGCAACCACGTCTCAAGTTGTAGTGGCACATGTACGAGAGGCGTAGAAAGGAGAAGATCGTGACCGTTGAATTAACAGATAGATAGACTTTTTTTTTTTTTAACAACGGAAAATTTTCCAACCACATTGAGTGTTTGGTGGCTAATTACTTACCCGTCACGACCGAGTTGGTGGTTCTGACCAAATTTCGTATCTCGAGATTAAAAGTTTGAGTATTTCAGTTTATATTCAGATTTAATGGTTAATCGTTACGTTAATTTAATTAAGTTTATTTTTAAAAAAAAGTAACATACACAATTAATGATCCCATGATTTTACTAACGAAGACATATCGAGAAAATCTTTGGATTCCTCTGATCCTATTAATTTGGTCAAAACAAAATTTACTTACCAACCCAAGAAAAAAAAAAGTAGTAATGTTAAACTGATCAAATTTTAGGATCAAATTTAGAACCAAAATGATATGACAGTTGACTTAAACTTCTTTGATTGGTGTGATGTCATTTGGGTCCTAATAAAAATTTCAAATAATCAACTGTCATGTTATTTAACTCTAAATTTGATCCCAAAACTTAATCAGTGTAGCATTACTCAAAAAGAAGCGTAGACAAGACTGTTAGATTTGAAGAATCTCATTTAGGGACAGCTATCTGACTATTAACATGAAGACATAAACGCGATACCAACTTGATATGATATAATTATAAATTAACACGATTGATAAATATATTTAATAATTTAATAGGATTAATATTTGACATTTATTAATACATTAAATAAATAATTTTTATGGGTATTAATAAGAATACAATAAGAATTATAATAACACAACTTAAAAATAAGAATGACATGATATTACACAAATTAACACTACTACTAGAATCAATGTATGTAGTCTTGTTACTTCATGTAAAGTGATTATTTTTTGTGTCTTCAATTTTTGTCGTGCAGATCATAATAAAAGACACCTCCTACGGTTCCAAGGTAAGGACTTGATGGTGTTAACCATAAAAAATAATAATAATAATAATTAGTAATGTACTTTTAAAATTTATTATTATAATAGATATTTTTATAATTTTTATAGGTCATTTTATAATTAGAAAATTTATTTAGTTTGTGGGTGATTTATTATTTTTTATGGGTATTTTTATCACTGTTATAAGTATTTTTATTACTTTTCTTTGGAACAAATTTTTTTTATCACTTTTGTGAATTTTTTACTATTGTTGTGGTAACTATTTTTATCACTTTTTTCGATATCATAACAGTGTTAACACCAACAATAATGTTAAAAGTACTCATAAATGTAATAAATATTAATACAATACCGATTTTTTTTTTTTGGATACCATAGACAACTCCCCAATACCAACTATTAACTTAATGTTTTTGTTTAGTATGATAAAAAAAAAGATAAAAAAGTAAAAGAATGAAAAGTTAAAAAAAATAGATAAAATAACATATTTAGGAAGAAAGAAAAAGGAAAAGGAAGAAAAAGTAATTTATCAAAATTTATTCTTCCAAAATTGAAAAAAAATTAATTATGTGTGTTAAAATATATAATATTAAAAATATATGACTTTTACTTTTCCTCCGCCATACCAAACACACCATAAATCTCAACTACACTCAATTTTTTTAAAAATTCGCGCATCAATTGAACTCGAAATTTATAGGAGATAAAATAATTAAGTTAGGAAATTCATTTAAAAAATAACAAAACCTACCAATTTGAGAGTAAAATCTGTTAAAAAATTTAATAAATATATCGTTACTCATAAATTATCAACAACTAGGTTATTTTTGGGTTAAAGTTTTTTTTTTTTTGAATGATTGGAGAAATTTTTAATCTGTCCTCAGCAAAATAAAAGTAAATTAGTTGTTTAAGGTCGTGAGTCCGAATAAAATTGAAGACAAATCCTGGATGCATGAATTGATCTCTCAATCGATATCAGAGACTTGAATACGGTTTATTCAAGTAATTAAGATTGTTCCTACCAACTAATTATTATTTATTTATTTATTATCGTCTAGGAGATTAGAAACCCTAAAGTCAAGAAAGTTAAAGATAAAGGTCCCATTGGATCAATGGTTTCGGTGCTTTCGGTTGGAGTTACTTTTACTTTCTAGCGGTCAAAATGTCAAACCTTTTTTAGTCTGTTTTTTTTTTTGATGAGGGACCTTTTTTGACAATTAGAAAACGTAAGGTGTGGGACAACACAACTTAGCTTCCTATGAGGGGGAAGTGATATCAGCTAATCTGTTTGCTTGGTGTTATTAAGAGGGGCGTTCATGGGTCGGATTATCACGGATCTTATTACTTGACTCAAAAAAATAGACTGGAAATTCGATAAATTTGATAGTTGGCATGCCCGAACTTGAGCCCAATATCCTTAAAAAAAGGGTTTGAGTTTGCCCCCAAACCCATTACCTGGCCCGAAGTCCAACCCAAGAGCCCGCCCATCAAGCCTGCCCGCAAGCCCGGCCCACCTACCTTTCATTTGAAAAAAAATTATATTTTTAAACCATTAAATTTGAAACTTTGAAATAAATCTCTCAATATCAAAATTTGAAGTTTAAAAATTTAGATATTATAAATAATATATTATTTTCTTTTTCACGTATTAAACATATAAATTTTAAATGGTAGAGTAATGTTTTATTTAAGTGTTAACCTAATTGGAATTTATTTATTCTATTGGATGTTGTTTATTATTTTATTTTTATCCATTTTGACTTTACTTTTGATTCAAAAATATAATTTGCATAAATATTAAGTTATAAAAGTATTTATTATTTTTAAATAAAGATGTATATAAAAAAGCCCGCAAGCAGACCCATCCACAGGCCTGCCCAATAAGCTCACGGGTTGGGCTGTGGGTAGCCTACCTTTACCTGAAGCTCGGCTCAGCTCGCCCGATAATTCACTTGGTTAAGAGCTTGGGTCTACACTATCCAAGCCTGACTTGAAAAGAAATTTCGCGGGCCTAACCCGGCCCGGGCCATGGACACCCTTAGGTGTGGACCATAAAAACAATCTGCAACATTTCTAATTTTAATTTAAATGGTTAAATTATTAAATTTTCAAAATTGCGACTAAATAAAACATGTAGACAAAAATAAATCTAAAATAGCTTTTAAAAAAAAAAATTGATATGCTATTATATATGTAAAGTTTTTTTTAGTAAAAAGTAAATATTATTTAATAAATAAATACAAAAATATCATAAATTAATAAATATTTTTGTAAAATGCCAGACTATGATATTTAATTCCAAAAATGACTGGCGTCCGACGTCATGTGGATGTGGCATAGCATAGTACTATAAAATATAATTTGAACAAATATTAAGTTATAGTGGGGTGGCGCCCAAGGGACCACTAAATGCTCAATATAAAGTACTTTTGAATCAATTGCCTTCTACTTCACTCACACCCAACCCTAATTTATCATTCTTTAATTTGTCCTATCCTCAGGACCCTCGTTCTAGTTGTTGAAACTTGTTGTACATTCCCTAATATTCTTGTCAGATTAAAGATTTTAACCGGAATATAATTTTATTAAATTATTTATAGGGGTGTAATTTAGGTTAGGTAATCTGATTTTAATTCGAAAAAATTAAGATTCAGGCAAGGATTTTTAAAACTTGAGTTGAGTTTGGGTCAAAAAACTCGAACTCGAACTCGACAAATTTAATTTTTTTTTTTTATATATATAAAGTATTAGTATTATATATAAAATATTAGTACTGGTTTTTCATTTTTGTTCTATCGTTCTCCGTCTCTCTTGTTCTCTCTGTCTCTCTCGTTCTCAGCCTATTTTGGACTCTACCCGAACTCAACCTGAATTGAACCTGTAAAATAATCTGAATTCAACCTGAATCCGCCTGAATTAAACTCGAGCAGTGTTCGGGTTGAGTTCCTCAACCGAGGTAGGGTTAGAGTTAGGATTAGGATTGAAAATTATATACCTAGGGTTGGGTTATAGTTGACTGTCTAACCCACCCAAGTTGCACCTTTAATTATTTATGATATATTTTTTAAAAAATATTTATAAACACTTCCTCTAAATAGACATTTTTTCAATTAAACTTTCTCTATTTTATAAATTTTTTTGTGTATTAAAATTCGGGCTGACTAAAATTTGATTAGAACTGAATAAAATTTGTTTTTAATCAGCTCGAATAAAATTTTAATCGACCCAAAATTTGATACGTAAAAAAAATATAAATTTTAATCGACTCAAATTTTAATATGTAAAAAATAAATTTTAATTAATTTGAATCGAATTTTAATTGACATGGATTTTAATAAGTAAAAAATATAAATTTTAATCAACTCGTATCGAATTTTAATTAACCATAACAGTTCAAGTTGAACTCAAATTGATTCAAATTTTAATACGTAAAAAAATAAATTTAAACAGTTTGAATCGAAATTTAGTCGTGTAAAATTTAAGATGTAAATAAAATTTAATCAATTCGAATTTTAATATGTAAAAAAATAAATGTTAATCAGCTTGAATTTCATTAGAATTTTATATAAAAAAATAAATTATTTGGGATTTATGTATGAATAATTTTAATATTTTTGATAAATTGTTTTATTAGAAATGACGGTTTAGAGCTCCTGTTCGATAAGGATGGCATCGAACGTAAATCCACTCTTTCATAAGGATGGCATCGTACGTCCCGTAGCCGACAAAGAGAAGAAGAAAGGTGGGGGAAGAAGGTGCTTTTGGCTTGAAAAAGGAATGAGATAGAAGAATGCAGAAATTCATGCATTTTTAGTTGATCGGAGAAAT